ATAAATATAAATATATAAAAATTTTTATTTATATAAATATATATAATTATTTATATATATATATATATATATATATATATATATATATATATATATATATACCAGTTAAACTACAAATTGATTAAAAAGTCGTTTACATTACCATATTTAAATGTTACCTTGAGGTCGAGGTGTACTATGTGGTGATTGTGTAAATACTGAAGCGCATTAATCACTTGCTCTAGAATCACGCCACATTCAGCTTCGGTTGTTGCTTCTTTTGTAAACACCCAGTCAAGTAGTGGCAAGCCCATCACTCTGTCGGTGAAATTCATGTGCAAGTAATTAATAATGCTGTCATTGTTAACCTAATTTCTGCATATAACTGTTTTATAAAGTGAAAAATATTTGTCATGTGTGTCCTACATTTGTTACTCCACTTGCTCAGTCTATTCAGGGTAGGGGCATCTCCAGAAATTGTATATAGGAGGGACTTAGGGTTGGCAATCTAGTTGGAAGAGGGGGTTTAGGGAACTTGAAGCAGTGTTATTTTTGTTTGGGGTGGACTCTGAGAGCGCTGATAATTTTTTTTATAGGGGGGTTTCAGGTCCTATCGACACCCCTTGCTGATCCAGGCATTTGGTAATTTGTATTGCCTATTTCGTGTGTGAGGGCACGTGTGCTGACGCTTGCCAGATTCACTCGTGGACCTTAATTGTACCTGCTTTTTAAGCTATATATAGAATATAGAGCCTGCCTTTACCACTTTGCCGATATCATTTCACTTTCCGACTACCCTAAGGCTGAAAAAATGCTTCTTGACATCCCTGTGGGTCATCTGTGTCTTTATTTCCGGCTGTGTCCTCGAGTTCGCGTTTTTCGCATGTTATATATTCCCTGGTTGTGTCCTCCATGACGTTCAAGTCCATTAGCCTCTCGTCGTAGCTCATGCCCCTTAACTCAAGAACAAGTCTTGTTGCGTACTTCTATAATATCTTTATTTACTACAAGTACATGTACATGGAAATAAGTCACTCTGACTTTTTTGGGTTATCCTAGGTTCTCTACACATATGCTGCTATGTATGATAATTCTATGTCACTGTATTTGTGTATACCTGAATAAACTTACTTGCCTAGCTGACATCAATGACATGTACTACTATATAGAAAGCCCCTCGTTATGCAGAGTATTTCGGGCAAATTAGGTCCTTGTCCCAGGATGCGACCCACACCAGTCGACTAACTCCCAGGTACCCATTTTACTGATGGGTGAACATAGACAACCTGTGTAAAGAAACACGCCCAATGTCTCGACCCTGGCTGGGAATCGAATGCAGACCTTCGCCGTGTGAAGCAAGAGCTTTAGCGACCAGGCCACGGGGCACCGTTCTACACTTTCTTCAGTTTAACATGCTTCCCTAGGTGCTGCGTACTCGAAGATGGGCCTGACTTATGCTATATAAAGTGCCCAGAGAAGACTGTCCAGACTTGCGAGGTGAACATTTGCTGCAGAGGTTATGCGATGGATGTGAGCCTCTGGAGAAATAATAAGCACTATACTCATTCTTAGGTTATTTCTCGTTGAGTGAGGTCTGCAACCTTTGTCCCCCAAGACTTGTGTCTGTGTGATAGGGAAGGCAGGGAAAAGAGGGGAACAGAGAAGGAAAATGAGAGAAAGCGCGAGAGAGTGAGCTATATAGCTTGTTTTGCTATATTAAATTTTCAATAAAAAGAAAACTGAGGCGGAGGGGAGGTAACGTAACTTACCAAATGAATTTAAATATATTTTTAGACATAGTCCAAAGTAACAAGAACATGCAGATGTACGTTACGTTAGCCTTTTCTAACGTAAGTGGTAGCATTACATTTGAGAATGTAAATGACCGTTAAGTCAAGGTGAATGAACACACATCTCTTACATTTTAATTCAGAAATTTAGCTATGCATTCATAACTTTTTTATTGCACCTTCATAATTCCACCTTTCTCCTTCTGGAGGGTTATTTGAACTGCGGTGTTCGTGTACTTCTGGCCAGACAGTTATTGAATGATGGTGAATGTTTCCGTCTTTGGGTCATCCCGTTTTAGTGAGAAATTACTTATGCTAAAGAGAATGTTTAAAGGATACCTGTGCACTAATTATGCATAATACATGGATGCTGTAATGATAGCCTAATCAAGAATTAAATATTGGGTCCTTTTTTTTTGTATGACCCACCTTAACCTAAGGTAGCCTAGTAAATGTCTGTTAAATATTTGTCGTACATAAAATGGCAAACCCATAAGGATACTAATGATCTCGGTCAATAAGTTATTTTTTTACGTACTGGCCATAGGTAATATGTGGACATTAGGACAGGCTGGTTACCATACAGATATCAGTGAAAAAAAAAATTTCGGTTTTAAAAAATATATCCCTTCTTCAGCTGAGTGAACTTATTCCAAAAAATACTGCATATCATATCACACCCACTTTGTCTGTTTTCATTTTACTATTTTTGTAACTTATTAGGGCAAATAGTTTGATGTAGAAAATACTTCGTTTGGTACGATTATCCTGACTTCACAAAGCAAAGGGGAACCCATGAAGCCTATGCTACATTTGTATGTTTAAAGTTATATGCAAAATTTCATGTGAAATGTTCTTGCATTTGAAAACTTCCATCAGTTTTAGACCACAGGAGAGAAAAGATTTAAGCTATGGACTAAAGCAATACAGTAATTCAAATTACAATAAAATTTAGTACGTATTGAGTATCATATGCTTACAGTTCCAGTACTAGAATGTCAAATTTAGGTGTAGCAGTGTAGAGGGCGTAGGCGCGCGTGAAGGATGGATGACGGAGGCGTCGCAGGAGGTGGTACTCTGCTTCGGTTTCTTGTTCATTCTGACGACCTCGGCGCACAAACTTAGCTGCCACTTCCCGACCATCACGCTGCCGCTGACATCGCTTCACCACACTGAAAGACACTGAATAGCCTTATGAAACCATGATTAGGGGGTTACCGCAGTATTTCCAGGAGATACATATAACCAGCACATAGAAATAAACTTAATGACGACGCTTCGGTCCGACTGGTTTATGGTCCAAGTTGGACCTAAACATCGTCATAAGCTTCTTTTTCCTTTGTGCCGGTTATCTGTGTATTGTTCCAGTCACGGTATTGTGCCTTTTTCTTTATTTCCAGGGAAAAACTTCGTAGCCTATTTTTTTTTTAACTGGTTGCACCTCATTTTGCATATACCTTATTTCTGAAAATGTGAATATTTCTTGGTCTGCAGTTTTCTTAAAACGTTAATTTTTTTTTGCCTAAGGTATGACTTTCAGCAGGAGTGAAGAGTTTCATAAATTTGCAAAACATTTTTTCCCTGCTGCGACCCACAACAGTCAAGTTATTTGAAGGTGATGGTACATACATGCAGTGATAGTGGACTGTTTAATAATAATAGTGGGAGGGATGCCAAGGACATTTTAGTGTGGACGTGCGCAAAGGTTACACGAGATGACTTAATGACTGCACAAGGTCTCTAGGCAGTGCTCAACCTTAAAAAAGAAACAGTATGAGGCTCAACGGTCCTAACGGAAGGCTCCAGTTCATTAAATATTAAGTGACAGTATCATGTTTATTTTATTCCGAATAACTAGTTGGAGAGCGCCACTCCAGGGAGGTTCCTTGACGCTGGTGAGGGGCTCTTGATCTAGGGATTGGATCTGTGCTCCAGTTCCCTGAATTGAGCCTGAATACCTTCCATACCCTCCCCACATGCGCTGTATAATCGTACGGGTTTAGCGCTCCCCTTGATTATAATTATAATAAATCAGGTTAAGTGAACAGGACCATTTAAAGGACGTTTTCTCAGCCAAGCTTACTGATCCATTATTTTAGCTATTAAATGAATATGGAATATATATAGCCTTGTTTCAACATTACGTAATTCCATGGAATTCGACACTTAAAATGTTACTAACTTATATTTTTTTATACGAATTTACGGGATAAGGGCAGGTAATATAAGACAGAACAGGTGGGTTCAGTAGGAAACTAGTTTGGCTACAGGAGTTACTCTTTATTTTATTATTGACGTGAGTGGCTAGGTCATATATGCATGGAACTTTCACCGCCACACTGCTGTTGACTTGGGCGGAACACGTCATGCCCACTCCACCCACTCTTCAGTCATGCACTTAAATTTCTTCACGTAGTCGGTATCCGGGTACTCCCTTGTGGCGGGTACCCCTACTCTTCAGGGTAAACCCTATCATAGTGATTACCTCTCCAGTCATAAGTTATTATACTAACACTTCAGTGGCTGTTAAATATCCTAGTGGAAGACCATCCAGCATGTTAAGATTTATATTTGTTTACAGTGGAAATGAAAGCTTAAATTGATCACTTGTTGATAATGGTATAGTTGTAAGCAATAAAACTTACCTGAATCTCCCCCGCCCGAGGTCGTGCGTAACGGAGTACCTCCTCTGGAATCCTGACTGCCACTTTACTTCTTCATTGTCCTTAGCAAATGAAACTTCGGTGTCGTCCCCAGCCTCCTTCAAATCATCATCACTCTCGTCACTGATTTCCAAATTTTCCACCTTCCCACTGGCTTCTTGTATGTAATTTTTCACATTAGTTTCTACTTCTTCCTCTTCCTCAATTACGCCTGAAATTATAAATTACATCCACATGATACAACGATGTGTCACCAGTTCTCGACTCTATTTCATGAATATATTGGCAAATAAAGAGAAAGAAAAAAGGATATACAGTATCGCATGTCGTCCAGAGTGGTCATGACAGTCACAGGAAAAGGGATAGTGAGCCAGACGATCCACCTTCACCATGCAAGAGCCGAGCAAATACTGACTCTGCAGCCAGTAAGTTGTCCTACTTTCCCATCCTGACTCCGTAAGTGACGGTAGACGAAATTTTATCATTAAAGACACTATCTCGTATGCCATACATTTGACTGGTAGGATTCCAACACCGTGAAAGTTTATGAAGAGCATTGTGGTGAACATGAGGGACTCCTGTGTTTTAGTTAAACGTTGAGTAGTACAAATAAAACGAGAGAAAAGTGAGGAAGGAGAAGCCAGTTTAGGAACCTGATACTCTACGGCGAGACACGCCCATGTTGGCAGCTGTCTCTTCCCTTCCCCCCACCCCCCCACACAAGCACCAACCTCCCACACACGAAAACTAACCCCCACACACGCGAACGCTAAACCCCACACACGCGAACGCTAAACCCCACACACGCGAACGCTAAACCCCCAAACGCGAACACACCCCCTACATACGAACACCATCCCCTACATACGAACACCATCCCCCTACATACGAACACCATCCCCCTACATACGAAGACCATCCCCCACATACAAACACCAACCCCCCATGCAAACCACCCCTCCACACAAACACTTCCCATACACACCAACCCCCCCATACACACACCAACCTCCCTACACACACACACCAACCTCCCTACACACACACCAACCTCCCTACACACACACACCAACCTCTCCCACACACACACACACACACACACACACACACACACACACACACACACACACACACACACACACACACACACACACACACACACACCTCCCTACACACCTCCCTACACACACCAACCTCCCTACACACACACCAACCTCCCTACACACACACCAACCTCCCTACACACACACACACACACTAACCCCCCACACATGTGAAAGATCTGGGAATGATAATGTCAGAGGATCTCACCTTCAAAGACCACAACAGTGTATCTACTTCATCTGCTAGCAAAATGATAGGATGGATATTGAGTACCTTCAAAACTAGGGACGCAAAGCCCATGATGATTCTCTTCAAATCGCTTGTTCCCTATAGGCTGGAACACTGCTGTACACAAACTGCCTCCTTCAAGGCAGGCGACATTGCTGACCTGGAGAATGTACAGATAACTTTCCCGGCACGCACAAGTACGATTAAAGCACCTAAATTACTGGGAACAGTTGAAGTCCCTTGATTTGTACTCCCTGGAACAGAGGCGAGAAAGATACGTGATAATATACACTTGGACAATCCTAGAGGGATTAGTACCATTTGCACACGAAAATCACTCCGTACGAAAGGAAAAGACTCGGCAGGAGATGCAACATTCCCTCAATGAGAAGCAGGGGGGTTCACGAGTACATTAAGAGACAACCCAAGTGTCAGGGGCCCAAGACTGTTCAACTGCCTCCCAGCATAAAGGGGATTACAAATAGACCCCTGTCTGTCTTCAAGAAGGCGCTGGACAGGCACCTAAAGTCAGTACCTGATCAGCCGGGCTGTGGTTCGTTCGTCGGTTTACGTGCGGCCAGCAGTAATAGTCTGATTGATCAGACCTTCATCCACCACGAGGCTGGTCTCAGACCAGACCGCGGGGGTGTTGACCCCCGAAACCCTCTACAGGTAAACTCCAGGTAAGTTTAACACATACCCCCCCCCCCCCACACACACACACACCAACCCACGACACATGCACACCAACCCTCCCCCCCCCCCACAGACACACACACACACACCAACCCTTCACACGCATGCACAACAACCCGTCACACGCATACACAACAGCCCTCTCACACAGACCATCCCCCTCCACAAACACCATCCCACCAACCCCCTTTCCCCTTCACACGGGACCAAGAGAAGACTTGAACCTACAACCACAAATAGGAGATTACGTACCCATTGCGGGCGCCCCACTCGCTCACGCGCGCACACTGAACCAACCCTGCCCCACACGCAATTTTTTTTGTTTGTTTTATTAAAATCGGTTGAAAAAAAAGGGTCAACAGAAAGCAGAAGGCAAAACTAAATGGCAAATTTTATTTCAAATTAAGGTACAAACATTACACAGTAATTTGAAAGCCAATATTATGTACAGCAATTACGCGGGTACTGTCCTGGGGAGTGTGGAGGGCTGGTACTGTCCTGGGAAGTGAGGAGGGCGGGTACTGTCCTGGGGAGTGTGGAGGGCAAGTACTGTCCTGGGAAGTGAGGAGGGCGGGTACTGTCCTGGGGAGTGTGGAGGGCAAGTACTGTCCTGGGAAGTGTGGAGGGCGGGTACTGTCCTGGGAAGTGTGGAGGGCTGGGACTGTCCTGGGGAATGTGGAGGGCAGGTACTGTCCTGGGAAGTGTGGATGGCAGATACTGTCCTGGGAAGTGTGGAGGGCGGATACTGTCCTGGGGAGTGTGGAGGGCGGGTACTGTCCTGGGGAGTGTGGAGGGCTGGTACTGTCCTGGGGAGTGTGGAGGGCGGGTACTGTCCTGGGAAGTGAGGAGGGCGGGTACTGTCCTGGAGGTGTGGAGGGCAAGTACTGTCCTGGGAAGTGTGGAGGGCGGGTACTGTCCTGGGAAGTGTGGAGGGCTGGTACTGCCCTGGCGAGTGTGGAGGGCGGGTACTGTCCTGGGAAGTGTGGATGGCGGATACTGTCCTGGGAAGTGTGGAGGGCGGATACTGTCCTGGGGAGTGTGGAGGGCGGGTACTGTCCTGGGGAGTGTGGAGGGCGGGTACTGTCCTGGGGAGTGTGGAGGGCGGGTACTGTCCTGGGAAGTGTGGAGGGCGGGTACTGTCCTGGGAAGTGTGGATGGCAGATACTGTCCTGGGGAGTGTGGAGGGCGGATACTGTCCTGGGGAGTGTGGAGGGGGGGTACTGTCCTGGGGAGTGTGGAGGGCAAGTACTGTCCTGGGAAGTGCGGAGGGCGGGTACTGTCCTGGGGAGTGTGGAGGGCTGGTACTGTCCTGGGGAGTGTGGAGGGCGGGTACTGTCCTGGGAAGTGTGGATGGCAGATACTGTCCTGGGGAGTGTGGAGGGCGGATACTGTCCTGGGGAGTGTGGAGGGCGGGTACTGTCCTGGGGAGTGTGGAGGGCGGGTACCGTCCTGGGAAGTGTGGAGGGCTGGTACCGTCCTGGGAAGTGTGGAGGGCGGGTACTGTCCTGGGAAGTGAGGAGGGCGGGTACTGTCCTGGGAAGTGTGGAGGGCGGGTACTGTCCTGGAAAGTGTGGAGGGCGGGTACTGTCCTGGGAAGTGTGGAGGGCGGGTACTGTCCTGGGAAGTGTGGAGGGCGGGTACTGTCCTGGGAAGTGTGGAGGGCGGGTACTGTCCTGGGAAGTGTGGAGGGCGGGTACTGTCCTGGGAAGTGTGGAGGGCGGGTACTCCTCCTGGGAAGTGTGGAGGGCGGATACTGTCCTGGGGAGTGGAGGGCGGATACTGTCCTGGGGAGTGTGGAGGGCGGGTACTGTCCTGGGGAGTGTGGAGGGCTGGTACTGTCCTGGGAAGTGTGGAGGGCTGGTACTGTCCTGGGAAGTGTGGAGGGCGGGTACTGTCCTGGGAAGTGTGGAGGGCGGGTACTGTCCTGGGAAGTGTCGACTGCGGGTACTGTCCTGGGAAGTGTGGAGGGCGGGTACTGTCCTGGGAAGTGTGGAGGGCGGGTACTGTCCTGGGGAGTGTGGAGGGCGGGTACTGTCCTGGGGAGTGTGGAGGGCTGATACTGTCCTGGGAAGTGAGGAGGGCTGGTACTATCCTGGGAAGTGTGGAGGGCTGGTACTGTCCTGGGAAGTGTGGAGGGCAGGTACTGTCCTGGGAAGTGTGGAGGGCGGGTACTGTCCTGGGAAGTGTGGAGGGCGGATACTGTCCTGGGGAGTGTGGAGGGCAGGTACTGTCCTGGGGAGTGTGGAGGGCTGATACTGTCCTGGGAAGTGAGGAGGGCTGGTACTGTCCTGGGAAGTGTGGAGGGCTGGTACTGTCCTGGGAAGTGTGGAGGGCAGGTACTGTCCTGGGAAGTGTGGAGGGCGGGTACTGTCCTGGGAAGTGAGGAGGGCGGATACTGTCCTGGGGAGTGTGGAGGGCGGGTACTGTCCTGGAAAGTGTGGAGGGCGGGTACCGTCCTGGGAAGTGTGGAGGGCGGGTACCGTCCTGGGAAGTGTGGAGGGCTGGTACTGTCCTGGGAAGTGTGGAGGGGGGGTACTGTCCTGGGAAGTGAGGAGGGCGGGTACTGTCCTGGGAAGTGTGGAGGGCGGGTACTGTCCTGGGAAGTGTGGAGGGCGGGTACTGTCCTGGAAGTGTGGAGGGCGGGTACTGTCCTGGGAAGTGTGGAGGGCGGGTACTGTCCTGGGAAGTGTGGAGGGCGGGTACTGTCCTGGGAAGTGTGAGGGCGGGTACTGTCCTGGGAAGTGTGGAGGGCGGGTACTGTCCTGGGAAGTGTGGAGGGCGGGTACTGTCCTGGGAAGTGTGGAGGGCGGGTACTGTCCTGGGAAGTGTGGAGGGCGGGTACTGTCCTGGGAAGTGTGGAGGGCGGGTACTGTCCTGGGAAGTGTGGAGGGCTGGTACTGTCCTGGGAAGTGTGAAGGGCTGGTACTGTCCTGGGAAGTGTGGAGGGCAGGTACTGTCCTGGGAAGTGTGGAGGGCGGGTACTGTCCTGGGAAGTGTGGAGGGCAGGTACTGTCCTGGGAAGTGTGGAGGGCTGATACTGTCCTGGGAAGTGAGGACGGCTGGTACTGTCCTGGAAAGTGTGAAGGGCTGGTACTGTCCTGGGAAGTGTGGAGGACAGGTACTGTCCTGGGAAGTGTGGAGGGCGGGTACTGTCCTGGGAAGTGTGGAGGGCTGTTACTGTCC